CCTCTTCTATCCATCAGACCTGACAGGTTGTTAATTGGTACATCTGCTACCTGCCAGAGCATTACATCTCAGGACGCGGCAGTTAGCAGGTACAACGTAGTGGCAGATAAGCAAACAAGTAAGTGCCGAGATGGATTATGCCTAAGAGATGATTGAGCATCACAGGCAGCCCTGATCTGATGTCTGTAGGTGGATGTACAAATTTTATATTTTGTGTGTTACCTGTGTTTCACTTCAGCCACTTTGTCTATGGATGTGAACATGTGACTTAGATACAAAAGCTGGCCCATTTAAAGTTGATTATTTAAGTGCTGTGTTGTGCCCAGTGAAACATGTCAGGTTCTAAGTAGATGTGTTAAGTTAATAATTCAGAGTGCTGGGCTTCCCTGGTGGCGCAGTGGTTGAGAGTCCGCCTGCCGATGCAGGAGAGGCGGGTTCGTGCCCTGGTCTGGGAAGATCCCACGTGCCGCGGAGCGGCTGGGCCCGTGAGCCATGGCCGCTGGGCCTGCGCGTCCGGAGCCTGTGCTTCGCAACGGGAGAGGCCACAACAGTGAGAGGCCCGCATACCGCAAAAAAATAAATAAATAAATAATTCAGAGTGCTAAATATTACCTAGATGTATATGTATAAACACACACACACACACACACACACACACACACCCTTGACCACTTAAAAATAAACCTCCTAATCCTCATATGGAATTACAGGCTCCATATTATTGTTATGTTAAATCTGATGTCAAGCTATCCTTGAAATACTTATGCCATATAGTTTACAGCATGGTAGTCGACCTATTTTATACTCTCGTATTGATTTTTACTCGCAAAGGTGGTCTTTGCCCACTCTGACCAGAGAACATGCAAATGGAGACGTGGCAGCTCAGTTTTGTCAACAGATTTTTGGTTTATGTGTTTTTGTTTGGTATGTGTATGTCGCAAAGTTGGACTGCCCATTTCCAATATGAGATTTCAAAAGGGGGATTAATTAGGGGAGGATGAAAGGCTGGAATCATTTCCAACTCCTTGAATTAGCAGGTTACAGTGTGCCTCATTCATATTTTCATACTGTAAATTTCCAGAATAGAGAGCACGGATGTTTATTCAAATACAAGCAAAATCAGTTATCCTCCACTGCAGGTAAGAGCTGATAACAGACCCCAAACATACCTATTTATGAAAACACCTGTATCTCACAGCTATTTTCCTGTGAAAGCCTGAGAGATTTCTTATAGCAAGAATCATTGATGTTACCCCGAGATTTCTGCTCAGGTAATGGAAGCTTCTCTTCTAACTTGTACCAATATTTGCACATTGTTCCTATGTTTGTTTTAGAGTCATTGTGTGATGAGTAGGGGAAGAAGCCAACTATAATCATCTCCTTAGAGTTGCATAAAATTCAAACCACTTTGCATTTTCTTCGACATTTGATCAAGCCATAATCAAAATCAATATTCCTCTGATGAGTTGTGCTACATGGTCACTTAGTGCATCACAGCAATATTGATTTTTATTTCCTGAAAAACCACATTTCCTTCCTTCCTTCTTTCCTTTCATTCGATGAATACTTAACTGTGCACCTACTCGTGTGCTGTATGCCATTCTTGTTTACAGGGACAGAGGAGTGAAAAAGAAAGCCCTCTCAGGCTCACATTGTAGTTGAGGAAGGCTATTATGTAACATGCACACAAACATGTTCAGTATATAATATGCTAGATGGTTATCATTGCCATGGAGAAAAGTAAAACCAAAAAGAAGGATGATGAGTGCTGGCGGTTGGGGGAGCCGAGATTTTATACAAGGTGGTCAGGAAAGTTCTCACTGAGGCAGGTGCTAGGTGCATGAGGACCTCAAAGGTGCAAAGGGAAGCACCATGGTGACATCTGGGAAGAGGTTCCCAGTTAGAGAGTAAAGTGAGTACAGAAGTTTTGAAGCAACCATATGTAATGCTTATTTGATGTAAAAAAATATTATAAAATATAAAATATAAGTTGTGGTTGGAATAAAGTGGGAAGAAATCCAGGAGCATGTAAAGTGGGAGCCAAAGGAACAAAGCGTGTCCAGGAGGACTGATCGTTCATGCCACGCGCTGATCAAGCAGGATGCAGATGGGAAGTGAGCCCTGGAATTTGAAACTTGGAGGCCACTGTGACCTTGACCAGTGGACTGGTGAGGGTGAAAGTCTGCCTGGATCGGGTTCAATGGAGACAGGGGAAGAATGGGAGAGAGAAAATCTAGATACCTTTTTTTTTTTTTTTTTTTTTTTTTTTTTTTTTTTTTTTTTAGGAATTTAGCTAAATGAAAACAAAGAAATGAGGTAGCTGGGGGTAGGGAATGTGGCATCAAGAAATTTTTCATTTTTATAGAAAAAAAATACCATGTTTATGTGCTGATGGGAATGATTCTGCAGAGGAACAGGGAGATTGATGATGCAGAGGAGAAGGGAGAATTTCAGGAGCAATGTCCTTGATTCAACAACTAGCAGAGTTAAGGTTTGGCCAGAGACGAGAGTGGAGACAGCTCAACCTCGTAGCCGTGGGAAAAGCAGAATATGTAGGAAGATTTTTGCTGCTGTTCCTCTTTTCTCGGTGAAATAGGAAGCAAAGTCATCAGTTGAGAGGGAAGATGGGGAAGACTTTTACAGAGATAGGAAAGGATGATGAAAGTGTCATTTAGGAGGCTAGGGAGTGAATAAGTGTAAGAAACGAATGAATTTGGAGCGAGATCAATCAGCTTGACTGTTTTTCTGTCACACTGAACTGTGTAGGCACAGATGCAGCAAAGGCAGAGGGTCAAGTTTAACCAGCCACACGAGTAAAACAAGAACAAGAGAGAGGCAAAGGAGCTCTTTGCTGGGCAGACCTAAGGTAGTGAGTATAATGACTGAGCCTGAGATTTCAGCTGGGTAAGCAGAGAAGAGAAGGGATGGGGAAGAGGTGGGAGGACCCACCGGCTACAGGTCCCAGTGGGTTCAAGGAGTCTTTGGAGTTTGGATTTTAGCAGGGTTTAGCTGGAAAAGTAGGTGTTGGCCAAAGAACGGAATACTTGACATTGAGATGGTGGAGGTGGTGCAGTGACTGGAAATGACAGGGTGAGGGGAGGACCAGGAATGTTGCTGGCTGAGTTCAGGGAGCCGACGAGATGACTGCAGAAGTTGAGGGCATGGACTTAAGAAGCCAGGGTGTTGGAAGTATGGCCCACGTGGACACTGAGATCCTCCAGGACTGTCACCAGAGTGGACTTGGAGAGAGTTCTGGTGAGTCAAAAACTGAGGCTTCTAGAAACAGGACAGGGAAGGGAGAGAGAGACTGAGGGAGGTGGGCATCAGTAGCTGACTGCAAAGGAGAAATAGAGCACAAAGAGCGGTTTGAAAATCACAGCTGGAGAGTTTTAGAAGGAGAAAAGAAAACTGTTCTACTTGGGGTGTTGCAGGTCAGTACTCGGTGGTGCAGAGGGTGCAGTGGAGAAAACATTTGAGGGGCTGCAGGGGAAGCAGTGTCCTGAGGTGCGAATCAAGTTCAGTGAGGGAAGAATGTGAGAAAAACACTGAGAGAGTGTAAGTTACAGGGCACTTACTGCTGACTGACTCCGAGTTCCCCAAGCTCAGAGGCAGGAGTTGGGGCAGCTGAAGGACAGGGTAGGGAAAAGGGATGGACAGAGCTGCGTGTAGGATTGAAGGTCAGACCGGAGAGGTGACAAGGGAGCCAAGGATCTCTTGGTGATGGATACAAACAGGTCACATCAGCTATAGGGATATTTCCGTGCTGATGATACATGACAAAACGTAGTGGCCTCAGGGCAGATGGTGGCACGAAGTCCGGAGGGGGAGCAGAAAGTTCCAGCCCCACCGCTCCTGCCAGTGGGGGTGTGCGCCCTTAGCCGGAGCTGCTGAAACTCTCAGGCTGTCTCTGGATGCTTGAGACAACTTAGATTACTTGATGAAACAAAATTTTTTGTTGTGTGTTACAAGTTCCCTCAGACAAATCATTGTAGTCTCCAACTTGGCCTTTCGGTTTGTCAAAAAGGAAGAGTAATGCTAGGTCATCTCTTAGAACTTTTGTAAATAAATAAGATTGCAAAGTAAGTTGCAAATATTAAGTACTACACTAAAATGTTTCTGATTTAAATACTGTTCACACTCTATCAATAGACTAAACTAGTAGCAGCAAAAGTAGACACTAAAATCAGTGTAATGGGGACTGTATTCAATATCCTGTAATAAAGTGTAACGGAAAAGAAAAAATAATAAAATAAAGTAAAATCAGTGTAACATTCACTTAAAAGTGAGGTGATAAAAGCTGTACAGATACTGGTTAAGTACTGAATTCATTACTGGATGGTAGAGATGCTGACCAGTATCTAATTTCTTTGTCTGTGATTCCTTTCCGTTTTCATTGACCTTGAATAGGCACTTGCTTTTTGAGATCTGGATTAAAAATAAATCATTATAAACACTATAAATCATTACCTTCCTAAAATAAAAATGCAATTAAAACTCCTTGGAATGTAACATATTACATTTACTTTAGCTCTGGGCCCTGTCGCTGATTTGTGTTTACGATTCACATTCATAAAGCACCTTTCAGCCCCCTCACCCACAGCCACCAAGGCCAAACTACTTGGCAAAGATATTATCACACTGCAGGTAAGTAAAGCTACTCTGAATTTCTAGGTGAGCCCTAAAGAAAACAGGTATGATATCTGTAAGTCCACAGGATGTGGAGAGTCTTCAGAAAACCTGCATTTCACACGTATTTCCACTTTTACCGGCTTCCTCCTCTTTGGGTTTAATCACCAGCATTTTGAGGAAATAACCT